GGGGGCTAGCGGGGGCTGAGCCCCTTCAACTTTTCGGCTGGAGGGGCTCGTAATGTATTTGAGCCCCTCCAACTGGAGGAATCGCAATCAGAAATCTACCAACATAATTTCATAGATTCATTCATAGGCGCGGGAACCGGGGGGGGGGGGGGCAGTAGGGACAGCTTGCCCCCACAACTCTGGGCCGTGGAGGCGGTGCCCCACAACTTTTCACAAGGCCAGGAACCGTTGGGACAGCTTGTCCTCCCCAAATTAGGAGTTGTGGGTCACAAAGGAAGAAAACATGTAAGTGAAAATCCACCTTTTTCACTGGCTCGGCAACTCATTTGTCTTATTCCAGGTTGCCAAAACGGTACCTAGTTTCTTCACTCAGCTGGGACAGAATACCTCACTTTTTTGCAAATGTTTTCTTTTTTTTCGTTGAAAAGGCCAAGGTCTGAAAAATAAGTGGTCTAAAACCGGTGAAAAAACTAGTTTTGGGGGTACCCTAGGTTGACCTCTATTATAGTGCAGCCCCCCCCCCCCCCCCCACCACACACCACACACACCCAGTTTGGAAGAAGTTCCCGCGCCACTGTTTGTTAGCCTTTTTCCGTTGGCTCTGCTCAACCAATATCTATGTATTCTACACTCGAAAGGAAATAACACCACCAGTCGGTGTTAACTCAGCCAAATATTTCTTCTTGTTCTCTTGTTCCATGACCTTAACAGTGGCCTCAATGTAGACCAAAAGGCCTAAACCGAGAAAGCAAGATCACAATTCACATGTAAAACATTTAATGTTTTCTATTACATTTCTGGGTGTCATGCTACTGTCCTTGACAAAAACACTCAACATTTAAAAAAACCCATTAGCTAATTACGAACAATCATGGAAAAGGACCCAGTCTCAGAGAATGCATGATTACTCGACAGTCCACAATCACCTTTGCAATTTGCATCGTCAATAAGATAAGTGAAAGTCACCATACGATAGACGATCCTCATGGCGCCGCAGCGGGTGAGAGTTGTGACAAGAGTGTCCTGGAGCAACAGGCCGCAAAGGCCTCAAACGGTCGCCCCAAAGCGAAGGCCAAAGGGACATCTTTCTATCTTTTTCTAAAATCTTTTTTAGAAAAAAATCTTTTCTATCTTTTACTAAATCTTTCTTATTTTTACTAACTTTTCCGACTGTCTGACCGGGAAGCACTGTCAGGACTCAGGAGCATGGTAATGTGATCAAGGATACGGCTGAGGTCCTTAGTACAAGACGTGATGGATAATTTTATCAGCATCGAAATGCTTCTTCGTGCCTTACATTGTTGATATTCCAGTACTTTCATAATAGGTATAAGCCAATTATACAATGCTTCCCTAGCCTCCACTGGTCCCCCTTCCCCATTGTTGGTCGGAGTGAGCACCACGAGCCCAGCTCAATGAGCGATCACCGTTGTCGGCACCGTGACTGCCTATTGACTTTTTACACGTCGATTGGACCGCTTCATCAGCTCTCGACCACAGTCCATAAATCGCTGCCACTGGCCGGCGCTTGCGCCCGTGCAGCCCCGTCATCGCGGCCCATAGATCCCGGCGAGGCGGGCTATCCACCTACGAATATCGACCATCAGACGGCCATAGATCCAGGAGAAGGAGATCCACCGCTGGACCCCGATCATCAGCCGAGTGAGTAGCCGGCATAAATTAACACAAGATGTGGGCGCGATCGGGCGCTATGTCGCCCCGGGGGCCGGGGGCGTCCATCGGGCGTCCATCGGGTGCACGGTGGGCGCCGAAATCAGCGTCACCAGTCACCGGTGTTGCCTTTTGTCGGCTGAACGGTCTAGGTGACTATCATTATGGGTGTATGTTCATGACGGGCCATTAGGCCGTGTCTCGTTGATAGAGTTAATAACGGGGCCGTCAGAGGCGTATTGTGGCGGCTATTGTGTGGCGACGGGTGCAAAAAGTCGCCACCGAGGGACGAAGGTGGGGGTGGGGGTGGGGGTGGGGAAAGATCAGTCACCGGGGGTGTTCAGTGAGGGAGAACTGGCCAGAGCGGCGATCAGATCATTATCTGGAGAGCACTTATTTAGGGAGCACATACATAAACTTGCCGATAAACTACGAGTTAAAAAGAGTTTGAAAACTACAGTCGAGAATACGATTAACCCTCGCCCATGTAAGGGGGCGAGGGTTAATCGTATTCTAGTTGGTGCAACCCCCCCCCCCCCCTGAGGTTTTTCTTAGTTACACGCCGAACCGTTTCAGATAGCCTGCTCAAATTTTAAGTACCCTCTGGGGAATCCTTTGCGCAACTTTTGGTATTTTTTTGTCAAGGTCATGTCAGGTCACGGAGTTATGACGTCATAAAGGGAACAACCTCCGGCCAGATTTACGCTAAATTGGAGATTGCTTCACATTGGTATAAATGCCGACTGACCTGACACACTGATGGATTGTTTTAGAATCACAACTGGCTGATTTGACATTGGCACAATGTCCGTTGACATTTTGAAGGTTACTAAAGGTCAAGGTAAGGTCAGTGACCTCGGTTGACCTGTAATGACTTCTTGCACTTGTATGCCTTTTTGGCGTATTTTGATGCCCTGAATTCGAATTTGCTATCCATTTCAGGCATCGTCGGTGGTTTCTTGCAGTTCATTTTGGGTCAGGGTCAGGTCAGTGACGCCACACGCCTGACGTGACCCAATGCACAAATGACCTTGCAGACTTCCGATGCTCCCAACGCATCATTTTTAGAGTTATGACATCGAAATACACACCAAACGATAGGAATTGATCAAGGATCACGATAGTGAAGGTTTCGAGTCGATATCTCTTACCGTTTTGCCGCAATCAGCGCGGAAATCTGAAAAAGATAGATTTTTTTCCGAAAATTTGACCTTTGACCGGTCATAAGTAGGTCAAATGTTGACTTAGGACCAAAAAATACCTATACCACCAATCGAGAGATCTCGTTGAGAGCAATCCGTTGGTCTTTTCCGCTAAGCTCTACGAGTTCTACGACGCTCCGTTTTCAAACACCAGGGGGGGGGGGGGTCGCACCAACCCCTCCTTGCATGGGCGAAGGTGGCAAAACACCGTTTACGGGCGAGGGTTAAGAGCAGCATTAAAAATGACAAGCTTTGGCGTTTAAATTTAACCCGAACATGACTCGGGTATATTCCATGATGCGAGTGACTGGGAGGGGGCCACTTGTGTCCGAAAATACTGGCCGATTGTCAAACTTAAAACATACAATCCTTGTGTACCTATTGCAATTTCACTTTATTCCCTATCGTGTTGCAAGCTAAATGGAATAAGACCTTACTAAAAACTCAACTTGCAAGTTATGGCCTAATAGGACAAAAATGCTGTGACAGGAAAAAAAATATGTCGGAGCTTAACCCTCGCCCGCACATGGGGGGGGGGGGGGTTGCCACTCCCCTCAGGTAGTCTTTCTGCTCTGCACTCAACATTTTTAAAGCTAGAAGGCTGATTTTTGGTATAGCTGCTCGTCTACCCTTTCTGGATGTCCACTGAAAATTTCAAGTTTCTGTGATTTTTGGTTTCGGAGATATGACCTTGTTTGTCAGGTCATGTCATGACCCAAATGGCCAATTCTCAACATCTTGCGTTTGCCATGGGCCTTGTGAGCTTTTGACACCTTGATTTCGGCCTTTTTTTGCCAGTCTTACCTCCCACCTATCATGGAACATGTCGTTCGACGATGTACAGGGGTCAAGGTCAGGGTCAAGGTCAACCTAGGTCATCTAAGATAATTGCGTTTTAGGCAAGCTGAATTTACTTTTTGTGAATTTTTTTTTTACTGCATTTTTGGTAAAAGCTTCTCAGATCATGATTTCATGTAATATGGACACAAAAACAATCGGTGCACACATCAGTATACACACAGACACACAGACATACAAACACATATAACTGACCTTGACCTAACTTGACCTGAAATGACCTCAGCAGCAAAAATCTGGTCGGGTAGTGTGACAAAGAGGTTCTAGCTGGCTTGGCACCAGAAAACGGCATCGTCATCGGTATATGATAAGCAGCGCACTTGATATCCAACGGTGACCCAAAACAGCAACATTTTTAGTTTGACCTGACCTGGAAGGTCAATGACTGACCTGAGAAGGTAAAATCGGGTATCATTGGATTCGTCTCTTCCCAAAGAAGCTTTTTGGTCTTTACCGCTAAGCTCTATCTCCAACAGGAACGAAACGGCGCGGGGGGGGGGGGGTGGCAACCACCCCATGTGCGTTCTAGGATGGGAAAATGGCATGTGCGGGCGAGGGTTAATTGATCGGTGTATGGTTGTGTACGAACCAGACATGTGCATGGATCCGAGCGATGGATCTATGATCTCAGTGGATCTCGAAGCAAAGTACAGGTTGGGATCTTTGATCCCACCGGATCCGGCGTGAAAAATACATCTTGGATCTATGATCTTATATGATCTGACGATTATTTAGGTAAGAACATGGATCTATGATCTGAGTGGATCTCACCATGCACCACGTTTGAAACCATGTTTTAAAGGGTTTCTATGCCAATAAGTGACACAAAACTGTGGATTATGACGTGTGATCACATAAAATCACTAAAACAGAACGTTGTTGAGTTGAAACAAGTGCTTTTTGGGATATATGTGTTGACAAAAAATAAGTGAGGATCTATGATCCCACTGGATCTCAAGGAAACAATGAGACTCGGATCTGTGATCCCTACGGATCTCTCGATAAATTACAGAGCTGGATCTGTGATCCCGTCGGATCCGAGATCAGGATCCGTGGGATCAGATCCCAGATCCATTTTCTCGGATCCATGCACATGTCTGGTACGAACATCAAACACCTAACAAGAGTGTGATGAAATAAACATGAGTTGCGGGCGTTTATTCCTACAGTTTCGGTGTAAGTCAGGAGCCAAGGGTCGGACCCAAAACAGCGCCAGCACGACAAAAAAAAAAACTTGTTTTAATTACGAACACTAAAATCAAACATCACTTAACACTGAAAGCCGACATGTATTTCAGCGAACACGCCACACAGTACAAAATGCGGTGTAAACATGAGCACAACACAACGATGAGACCAATACGAAAGAGTATACAAATCAGCCGGAGTCGGAAGCACCCCTTCCTCGACAGCCGTTCACAGTTGGTCCTAGCACTCCCCCGTACCAGGCTTACGGTAACCGCACAAAACTATCGTACGAGTATGCGCGGAATAAGACAGACACGGCCTCACGTTCACTGTCGGGTTCAGTGAGAAGAGTATTTGACTTTTGAGAACATGCATATAGGAATCTGAGTCAGACAAGAATGATGTTTCTCCCAAATAAAGATGGCCATAAAGCCTGGATGCAGTTACCGCCAGCGACACTTGCCCTAAAGGCCATCCGTCCCGAGTCAGACTTGAGCGAACCTCCGACCGACACCCGATGGCTTGAAAGCTCGAACGTGAACATCGCATACATCGCACAACATCACTCACACTTATCGCTCAAATAAAGCAATTATTCACAGCAATATCATGGATGAGAATTGTATTTTACATCCATGACCAAATGAACGAAAACACCGCGCGGAGTTCATCAATGTTCGATATGTGGCCCGACCTGCGGGTCACAAGGCAGTGAACGGTGGCCTTAGAGGCCCCGTCATTCTTAAGCCAGTCCCCTGACAAGGACAGCCCTCAGAGACTTGGCCCTCTGATGAGATCCATGCAGTAGTCCAATAAGCTGTCGTCCGCAGCAGCCCAAAAAACACGCAACCTTTGGCAGATACGGCTGCCAACGACCTCAGCAACGTCCTCAGCTTCAACGCCGCCATAAACCCCCTTCAGCAGCGACAGCCACCTCAGGAGCGTCCTAGACAGCTTAGCTGTCAGAGGAGGACATTTGCCGGACGAGGAAGCCCAGGGCGGCCAGGCCGCAGGCAGTGACAGCGGTCGACGCTATGCCACCGGTGAGTCCCGGCACCTCGGTCACTTCATCGGGAGTTTTCTGCGAACAGAAGCAGTGACAATCCATAGTGAGTGGTAGCAGAGTACTTCCTGTGGTCGAACTAGTGACTTGGTTCGCGTCCGTGAAGTTTTATTGATGTTTTATGGGCAGAACTTACAGGGCAGTCAGGCATGTTCGTGTCACAGTGCAATGCAGCACAGCAAATTGAAACAAATGGCTGGAGTGTGGACCAGTTTAAGTGATGCGCACTTGCAATAACCAAACCGAACTGAACAACTGAATGCATTCTACTTACATGATAAATGCATGCCGTAGTACACGAAAGTGCAAGTTATGGTAATGACTTCGTACCTTGACTGGGTTTCAAGTAAGTCATGCGAGGCTCAGGATTGCCTAGGGGGCCGCCACTGGAAACAATGCAGCCTCTACTCACCGGTCGCCTGCTCTGTGCGTTGTTCGGCGTCCCTAGGGACCTCTGAGCGTCGAGCCGGTCGGCGACGGCGCCCAGCTCGCGACCGACGCCGGTCCGCCGCGCCGATCGTCCTCCGCGACCCCCCTCCTGCTGGTCCTCCGAGTCCTCATCATCCGCGTCCTCCGCAGCGTCCTCATGCAGACACGGAGTCAGAGAAATTCCCCAGTCGGGCCCGGGCGGCGGCGGCGGGCTGTGGCGGAGGACATCCCCCGGGGACCGGTCCCTCCCGGCCGCCCGGCGCACCACCTGTAGCCTCTCCAGGCGCACCTGCAGCTGCGCGGGGGTCGGCTCCCCGGCAGAGGCTCCCCGGTAGTCGGTGACCTCTGGCGGTACCTGGTGACACGTCACCAGGTCCGGCGGCGGTCCGATTCGACCGCGGGCCGCCGCCACCGCCAGCTCCGCCTCGGTCACAGAGGTCGCTGAAACAGCGAGAACGGCGTACAGACATCAGTCAAGGCCAGCGCCGGACACTGCGGCAGCTGTGTTTACCAGGAACCGGTCGAGCCGAGACCGAACGGTGGCGCAACGCGACACCGCGACCTTGGGGGGGGGGGGGGCGCGCCCGGTCAGCGGCCAGGTCAGTGACCCCGGTGAGCTGACGGACTACAGACGCAACAGCCGGGGGGGGGGGGGGGGGTAAAAAGGGACGATATCGGCGGCAGCCGGGCAGCGTGTCCGAGCGTGAGGTGGTCTCGCCAGGCTATGAAGCTAATTTGTATCATAATTCGGGGTTAAATTGCAATCAAGTCACGAACGGTGCAGACGGCACTCACGGAAACTGAGGGGCCAAGGGATGGAGGGAGGGGCCCTGGAGGAAAACGGCACAAAACTGTTATGGTGTGACGCAGAACCATACAGGAAAATCACGTAACTGATAGGTTGTATATCCGAAATGCCGTAACATGCAAGCCTCGGAGTGTGCCAGGTGTCATGTCACGATTATTCATATGGGTATAACTGGGCCGTCCAAGCTCATGGTAGTGTTTCACTTGGTTACTCGGCCATAAAGCCGTGAATAAATCGATAGGACTATTTTGGCTCGGGCAGCGGGAACACCACCAGAAATCATTCCCAAACCCTAACAATGTCACCAATGCTAATTCCACAGTTATATAAGCACAACAGTACCTACCTAAATTGTTCGTCAGCATTGTTATGCATATGCAGTGAATAACAGAACAGACATCTTCTTTGAACAAATCGCTTAATCGACAAAGTTATGAGGACCAGTAACTAGCAAACCGTTGCACCATCAGCAATGTTGCACCATCGACACCATGACCCGGTCATGCCGGCACAGTCACACAGAGACCGGTTCAAGTAGCCCACCTGGCTGACCTCTGCGGCCATATCTCGATCAGTGTCAACAGCTCTGCGGGGGAGCGGGGATGACTCAGACCTCGGGACCGCACGTGCCGCCCAGAGAGAGGTCTACCCACGCCGCGCCGCGCGGTCTCCAAGCCGTTGACCCGTTAGACGGGATCGGAGCTTTCCAGAGGAACCCCCAGTGTCCGCGAACTGCCCAGCGCTTCCAGGGCGCAACATCCGGTCACTTTTCGTCAGCCTCGGTCGATAGGACACGCTCGGACACGCTCGGTGAACGGACCCAGGAAAAGTTGCAAACGGAACAAGGACAGGACGAGGATGTGATAGGTGGATTGGGGAACAGGAGCATGCGATCGAGAGATTCGTGTGCTTTGTACGGTGGAGGCTGCAGGACTTCAAAAATCTGACGCAATACTGACACGCCTGGCGTCAGTCGTCACTGTATCTGTAGATGTAAACGGAGGCTGGGTATCGGTGCACGGCCCTCAATGGCAATTGGCACCCGTTATACCGCTGTGATGGGGCAGTTAATTACACCTGACACATCGGACCGCCCGTACTTTCACTGAACGGAAACGGTCACGCCTAATGGGCCGTTAATGTGCACGAACAACCGTTACACGTCGTAAGGCCGTGACTGGTGCTACTTCATGGGACATCTTCTCGTGAACACCGACAAAGGTTTCGGCCGTGGGCACGGGGAATTTCCGGCATCTCACGACTTCCTTAAACACCGGAAGTGAGTCACGGAACTTCACGAACCGGCCACGCACAGAATACTTCACCCATCACGAGAACAAAGACACAGGCTCACGCGGCACCCTCTCAGCGACCCACACAAATCACGGCCCCTCTCGGAACTTACCGGCGTCGGCTGTCTCGGGGGGCGGTGGCGGCGTCCAGTTGCTGAGCACCCTCCGCACAATCTCGCTGTTCAGCAGGTGATGGACGAACGGCAGCAGTCGTGATCTATCGTACTCCTCAGCCGTCATCGGCACGGCTCCCACCAGCGCCAGGCTCGTTAGCGCTGCCATCTTGGCGCGTCACTCGGTCCAGCCTCCGACGCGCGCGCGCCACGACCTCCTCGCACGCGCCACCCAACGTCCGGAATGGCGCCAAACGGGCGGCCGGTCGCGCCGACGCTCCGCGGGCCGCCGCGGCGGCCAATCAGCGGCCGCCGAGGGGTGGAGTGACGTCAGCGGTGACGTCATGTGGCAGAGGCCCCTGACACGTGCCGGACGGCGCGGCGGGGGTGCGGCTGGGCGACTGTGACCTGAGGGCTGAGGCGGCCGGCTGGACTGATTGGCGGCTGAAAGGGAACATTAGGGTTGTTCAAAAAAACCGAATTTTGGAAAAGTATATGGGCTCATGGCTCATGTGGTGCGGTATTCTTTTCTGAGACCAATGATGCCCTTTTTTCTGAAAAGTATTAACTGTTAGGGGCTCCTCAAACGGCTTAAAGAGAACCATGCTACGCCCGACGACCGGCCAGTGTCAATAAGGGCGAGAATTCGACGCCGCGCGCCGGCGGCAGCGCCTTATCGGCACCGCGCGCCACGACATCTGCCGGGCGGCCGGCTGGGCGGTGGGAAGTTATAAGTGCGTCAGGGCCTCCTCTAACATACCCACTGGGTGGGCAAATGCCTACCCAGTCACCACAATTGCCCACCCAGTGGCGTCGATTTGCCCACCCAGAAGCAAATGCAAAAATAAAGGTCCGGCCAGACGTCCGGTAGGAACTACCACTTCGGTTTCCCGGGAAAAAAAAACTTGCTAGCAGCCAGTGCCCCAGCCCCCAATCACTGCAGTGCAAGTTATTTTTTTTTTTTACAATGGATGCATCTGAATGCAGGGGCGGTAGCAGACTTGGCGTTTGGGGGTGGGGGCAACTTGGCAACTTTGCCAACCCTCGGAGGGGGGGGGCGGTGCTAGCTTACAGAGGCCCATGGCCATAGCGGCCTCAAAGGCCCGTAAGGAACCCCAGAGGCCGATGTGGGCTCTCAGAGGCCAGTGCGTGACGCCTAAAGGTGTAAGCCATGGGTCCCCAGCCAGACAACAAAATAGGGCCATCAGAGACCTTATAGGCTGATTGGGGACTAAATAGGGCCTCAATTTGGAGCCATCAGAGGCAAATGTGGGCCTCAGATATCAGTGTGAGGCCCTTATAAGACTGACATTGGTCCTCAAAGACCGGCATCGATCCTTCAGAAGCCAGTACGGGGCCCTCAGAGGCACAAAAGGGTCAGTCTTGGATCTCAGAGGCAGAAAATGGGCCATCAGCAACCGGTGTGGGACCTTTAGAGGTCGGTTTGTGCCCTCAGAGGCCAGTTTAAGGCCCTCAGAGACCAGTACAGGGCCTGAAAATGGCAGTTTGAGGCCATCAGAGGCCGACTTAGGCTCTCAAAGGCTAATGCGGGTCCTTGAGGCAAGGATGGGACCCTCAGGGGTCAGTGTGGCACCCTAAAAGACAGGCTTGGGCTGGTGTTGGACCCCAGAGTCCAGAAAAGGTCAAGTTGAGCCCTCAGAGCCGATGCAGGTCCTTAACCCGGCAGTTGCTGGGGTATTTCGCCACCCACCGTTTGCTGGGGGGGGGGGGGGGGCGTTAAACGCCCCCAGCCGATAACTCGAGAACCAATAGGCGCAGCGAAACGCACGAGGCGGCAAACGAAAGAACGCGACGAGACGCTTCAGATGAGTACTTTAAAGTTGAATTTTGAGGTCACAGGTCGGGTCAAGGTCAGGTCAAACAGGTCAAACACCTGTAATCGGACTTTCAGTAGCATGGACTTCAGGACTTCACAATGGGCGCCTCCCGTCATAAACTCTGTCAAAACGGTGCACAATCCATCATATAAGGCCTACAAGAGTGTCAGCTCCATGTAGGGGTCAGTCAAGCATAGGTCAGGGTCAAGGTCAGGTCAACCGGGTAGACACATATCCCCGAAAATCAAAACTGATATTCGCAGCCTGTGACACATGTTTTATGGGTATTTTGGGGCGTAGAACACGATGGTGACATTCATTTTATCATATGTGTACGTGTTTGGGTCAAAAATTTCAAATTAAGAAATACATGTATCATGGTCGTGAAGCAGTCATGAGAAATTGCCAAGATTCAGTTCAAGATTTTGGAGAATGCGGAACGATAATCAATAATCGAAGATAGCCATTTGTGTTCATGGTATTGGCAGTCTAATGGCGTTTACGGCATGTCTGTATGTCTATTCTGTGATTTTATATGATTTTTTGAACATATAACGTTTTTGGTCGAAAACCAAGAAATCATGACGTCACTGAAACCTCGATATCTCAAAAATTTTCCGGCCGATTTTTTTGAAATTTTGCCACAATAAACGTCAAACAATTCCCTAGAGGCATCCAAAATTTGGCGTGCCTGCGGCGCGCCATTTTTTTTTCTATGGCCCAGCGAAAAAAGTGGGGGCGTTTAACGCCTCCCCCAGCAACTCGGGGGGTAACCCTCGCCCGTATAGGGGGGAGTCGAACGGACCCCCCTCGATTTTTTGCGAATAACTCGCGACCTGTGACCTCTTTTCCGTGACCATGTTTGGCCGAAATCGCGATTCGGCGTATGTCGACTCGCATTAGCCGCGCGTTTGCGAGCTTTTCGTGATTTCAAACGTTCAAACATGTGATTTGATGTTGCTCCCATACATAAGGGTGGGTGTCAAGGTCACCTGAAGGTCAGGTCACGTCATTGACCTTTGGTGACCTCGGGTGACCTCGGTTCACTTTTTCGAGATGTTCTAGGCTAGTTTTTTATCTGAATTCGAATTTAGCAACCATTTGAACATTTACGAAGTAGTTTTGGTGCCTTCGTAACATGTTACGAAGCTGTCAGAGGCGGTTGACACGTAATACGAATACCCGTCACAACCCCTACCGGTTGACCTGACCTGACCTGACCCGACCTGGTCTAAATAGCATGCTTAAAACATCATCTCTGATCAAAACTAACACGATATTCGTGATCAGCACCCCGGAAAACCACATAGCAGCCACACTTTACGACTTTCTAACAGGTCCCGATTTTCCCGGTTTTCGGGTCATTGACCTGACCTGGAAGGTCACTCGATGACCTAGGACCTTAAAATTGGGTATCATCGGCTTCCTCTGGTAACGGGCAACACGCTCGTTTTTTCCGTGAAGCTCTAGCTTGATCAGGGGCCAAACGCGAGGGGGGGTCGTGCCGCCGAAGGACGCAATGGCCTGTGCCGGCGAGGGTTAAAATTGGGTATCATCGGCTTCCTCTCGTCACGGGCAACACGCTTGTTTTTTTCCGCGAAGCTCTAGCTCGATCAGGGGCGAAACGGCAAGGGAGGTCCAACGCCCCCCCCCCCTAAACGAGTACCTACGTTCGCGGCTGGAAAAACACCAATACAGGGGATGGTTAAAGGCCGGCATCGGGTCTTCAGAATCCAGTGCGGGGCCCTCAGAGGCTAATATGGGCCTTTACAGGCCAGCATGGGGCCTCAGAGGTCAGTGTGGGACCCTCAAAGACCGGCATGGGCCAGCAGAGTAGCGTGCTACAAGGCCAAGGATGTATTACAAGTAGATTAAGGTCAATAAAAGCCGTATTTAGATCAAGAGGACGCGCCAAGAGTAAGCTGACCATGCCTCCTAAAAAGAGGCAGCGAGCATCACCTACCTATTCGATTTCTGGTTCAAGGAGCAATCATAGTAAGTTTAACTCTGCACTTTTGCAGTCTTCTTAAAATTTTAAATGTATGTAGACTAGATATGTCAATCGGATACCAACTTTTTGGTATACCGATACCAAACTGATACCAACTTGGTATTTGGTATTTTGATCCTAATGTTGTTGGTATTTTGTTGGTATTACGAATCCGGCTAATGTATAAGAGGATACGAATTCGGTAAAAAGTTGGTATTTCCCTCATATTCCCAAGTTGGTTTGGTTTCGGTATTTTTCATGGTTTTGGTTGGCATTTGGTATGGTATCGGTATCCTGATTTTCCGTTATTGATATCACTAATGTAAACAATAGGCATACCTATAAGGTGAAATACACACGAAATACCATATCTGCACACGACAAACGTTAAACTATAAATGGCACAGTTGGTTGACTGTGAAAGTGACATAGGCCTTAACCCGCCCCCCCCCCCCCCAGTCGCAGGTAAAAATGGTTGCACCCCAAAACAAGTGACTGGATCTGCCCTTGGGCAGGGGAGCGACGAAAAATTTTGCCCACCCAGTGAAAAATCCTTAGAGGAGGCCCTGAAGTGCGTGGTCTTATTGCACACGATCGGGGTGAGCTATCCCATGTTTTCGGGGCGGAAAGTTTCAGTGCAGCATCGGTGCGTCTGCCACGGTGGTCTGTGTCGATGGTATAGAAAATAACTCAAGCAGAGCTCAGAAAAGACTGAATGATTCCGGGTAGTTGCCTCGAAGCAATCCGTTTTAAGAATACAGCTGCCTTCTTAACGTACCGTATCACTTGCTTATTTTTCAAAAAACTCACTCTGAGCAATAACACACCTCTTTGCATTGCTGTTGACAATTTACGTTAGTTTTTTTACGGTGGCTCGCACCTCCAATATGCTGCCGCGCAACTTTATTCCAACGGCGAAACGGCAACCTCGCGAGAATCGAAAATTCACGATATACGTACAGCAGGGGCTGGCAATGCAGTATGCACAAGGACAGAATATGGAGGAGACCCGACAGTCATCGGCCCAAGTTTGGGGGTGGCTTTGACGAGCATCGGCGTCACCAATGTCATTATTCAGATACGTTGATGTCAGATGCTGGGGCAACAGAATCGACGCCAGGTGTAACTTAGATTAGCGGGTCGAAAGAAAACATAACATGTCTGGGAATGACAGGGTGGCCACCCTGACAGTGTGACGAAGTGAGACATGAGTAGAGACATTAGCCGGAGTACATACCTACTCATATAAATCAAGCGCCGTTTATCCCATCCTTCGAGCATAAGCGACGCCGGCAGTCCGGCCAGGGCGGCCGTGCCCACCGATGCCGATGAAGACCCGAATCCAGACCCGGCATAGAACACAGCTCTGCCCTGACGTGACACATTACCCCGGTGTGTCACTCATGACGGATAGACCAATGCAGGAGCCTTTCCAGCTCCTGTTGTACCTACTTCGTTAAAT